ATATATATATATATATATATATATATATATATGTGTGTGTATGTATATATGTGTGTGTATATTTATATATGTGTATATATATATATATATAATATGTGTATGTATATATATATATAGGATTTATGGATTTACAGGATTTACTGGATCTGCGGACGGACACCGATCCATTATGCTCCCCAATCCGCAGTTCCGAGCCATCCTGCGGGGATTATCGGCTTTCTTAACAACTTACCTTTTTGTGGAGCGGGTCCGGTGTCACCCCGTATAGGTTGCATGCCAACGATCCCCACAGGATGGTTCGGATCTCCGGATGGAGCATAATGGATCAGAGTCCGATCCATTATGCTCCCCAGTCTGCATATCTAATCCATCCTGCGGGGGTCGTCGGCATGCAACCTATATGAGGTGACACCGGACCCGCTCCACAAAAAGGTAAGTTGTAAAGAAAGCCGACGATCCCTGCAGGATGGATTGGATCCATCCTGCAGGGATCGTCGGCTTGCTTTACAACTTACCTTTTTGTAGAGTGGGCGCACCCCCCCCCCCCCCCCCCCCCACCTGCCTCGGGATGCCACTGAATCTCATAGATCAGTGTACTCAGTCTGCCCATAGTGCCTAGTTAATATTGATTGTCAGCTGAAGGCTTACCTATAACCCTTCCTTATAGACTACATGATTATTGAAAAAAGATACAAATTGGGATCACTTCACCGGATTTTCAAATTATTATGATTTCAGAGTACAATTGATATTTAGAAGTGATTGATTTAAATGCTTGTACTGGATGTTTCCGGGTGATGTTTTTATTCTGATGACTTCACTTCTGCTTTAAATGCTGTCTGCATAATTTGAATCTTTCCTGTTATTCTCAGCTGTTACTAGCTGCTCACTCATCATTCTAAAGTTATATTGTCATTTGTTTTTGTACCATGTCTAGCATGGGTATGCTTGCAAGGTAATTTTTACAGAATGATACATGTGCAGTACTTTGCACCATTGTGATACAGGACCTGGGCCTGTCAGTACATAAAAAATAGAAGTAAATCTTTTGTTTGAATTTGTAAGTGCTTGCTCACACTTGACTGAATTTCTAACTCTTAACAAATGCTCCTATAGCGTTAGTATGGGCGTTAGACAGGCTTTAATTCGCTGTAGTATGGGCGTATTACAAGCATTAAAAATTCTCCCCAAATGCCCCATGCACATTTTACAAGTGTTTTGCATTAAAACCACACCACAAACACATATAATAAACTAATGTTATTAATGCACCACAACCGCACTGCAAATGCCTACCAGCGTGTTTGAGAAAACATCACCATAGACTTGAATGAGAGGCATTGAAAGGCTTCAAACCCTTCCAGACTTCACATGAGACTTCAATTTTGAAGCAATGCTAACGCTTCATGTCTTGATAATGTGAACACCAGTGTGCTGTCTATAATATCACTTGCATAGGCATTTGAGAAGCGTTAAAAAAAAAACCCCTCAAACGCCTGCTTTCAATGCCAGTGTGAAGTTCAGACATTGGCCGAGTATAACATAGTAACATGCTTACAGAGGACAGTGGCATGAATTGGACACACAAAAGGGCAGCATGGCTATTTATCAAGTAACTGTAAGAACATATTCAACATTGGGATTTCTTTGTTTTTTTTATTCTGTGATAACAAAGTAGGGTGTTTCTTCTGTCAAGGTGATCCCTGTATGAGCATTGAAAGAAATAAATCATATCTAAATCCTAAAGCCTGACCATGCATGGATTAACTGCATGATGAACTGAATCTTTTTGCAGGGTCATAGACCAGCAGACCAACTTCTTATGTGACATACTGTAGATCTAAAAAGCTTGTGAGATGAGTAGATTCTGAAAGTTGGCATATTGAAGAAAACCCGCACATGATTTTGATTTTGAGCTTGGTCACTCAGACACATGGCACTGCACTATGGGAAGTAGGGTGGTGGAGGTCAACATGACGATATGCCTAGTACCCAAGAATGTATTTATTTTTTTAAAGGGCTCCAGTGACAATGTGGAATGGTTGCAGTCTTGTAACGCTTGTAACTTTATTCATTTGGACAAAATAAACCAAGAGTTTCTGCCTTGAGATTGGGCTTAATCGTAGTGGTTTACATTTATTTATTTCAAATATTACAATCTGTGGAGCATAGGACGAGGCCCTGCTGGAATTCAGCACCCAGTCTTCAATGGGGGTGGTCCAATTCAGGCCTTGGGAGCAGCATACACTGTCAAGGTGGGAGCATGCACCTTTTGGTGCCCTGCTGTATTGTGTCATTGTTAGTTTTCCTACTTTGTGCAAAGTACAGGTTTTCTATAAGGCTGCTTTCACACTGCTTAATTGCAAAAACGCATATACGTTTTTTTTTACCGTATTTTCGGTGAGTTTTTGCACCTGCGAAAAAAGTTGTTATTCCAAAAACGTACAAAATCCTCAACCACAGGTGTATTTTGGATGCATTTTTGCTGCGTATTTCATTCATTTCAATGGGGAGGTTCATTTTTGGGGATTTTTTTTTCTTTTATATGGCACCAAATATGTGCCAACTTTTAAAAATGTAACTGACCCGTAACTGGCTGGTGTGAAGAGCTCAACAGGATTTATTGGTCATGCATTTTTCTTGTGCTTTAAGTAAGGCAAAAAACGCAACATAACGAATAACCTCCAGAACCTGTGACCTTTAGTGACAACCTGTGAAGACACGGTTTTGTTTTGCAAATTGTTGGTATGCAGTACAGGAGTGGCAGTTTACTATTTTTAATGCATTTCAAAATATCCTGTCTTTCCTCTGAACTGTGAACTTGGCTGATAATGTAGAATATGTTCATTAGGGGACATATATTTTTTGTTGTGTTGATTACACCATTTTTACATTTTATTAAAATTAAATGACTGTTGAAGTTCTGAAATTTTCTGAAATATTCATTGCTTTTCTGTTTCACCTGTAAGGGCTGGTTCACATGCTTGAGGTGCGTTTTTTTAAATACATTTTAGGGGTGTTACTGTTAAACTGTTTATATTGTGCGTTTTTATGGAAGCGCATCAAAAATGCAGAAAGCATGATTTTTGTTTTTTTTTTGTGTGCACTGCATATAGAACACACAGATGTGAACAGTGCCTAAATAATGTACAATGTAGTGTGATTTACAAATTACAGTACATTGCTGCAGCTGGAAAAATGTTACTACATAAAACTGCTGCATGTGCGCATTTTACCCAGATAAAGGGCCTGTTCCCACCAGAACGTGGTGTGGGAACCCCGCTTTCCATGCACATTTCCTACATCGCGTTTAAAACACACTGCACTTGCGATCTGCAGTGGGTGTAACTGTTAACTACTTGCCGACCACCCGTGGTACTTGGTGGTACTGCGGGCGGATGGCATGTACATGCAGAGTGACATACTGGTGCACCTATAGGTCGCTGATCACTGCCATTACTAGTATAGTGTTTGGATCAATATATTGATCACGAACCGAACTATACCAGTACCCCCTTAGTATAGTGTCCCCAAAAACACATTGTTTGCAGAATTAGCTGTCAGCAGTGTTTAGCCCCTCCGTTGTTTTTCACAGAATATTTGTATCAATTGATTGTGAGCCAAAGCAATTTATATACACAGCAATACTGTACATCACCACCTACCCAAATTCAGCTCTTACCAGACAATTTGCATGGAAACCTATCACAATAACTGAATTTAAAACTTTTTTGGGCTTAACCCTCAACATGGGCATTACAAAAAAGAATGAATTGCAGTCATATTGGTCCACAGACCTGATTCATCATATGCCCATGTTCTCTGCTGCCATGACCAGGCATAGAAATGAGAAGATAATGCACTTCATTCATTTCATTGATAACTCGTCGGCTATAAACAGCCCCATTTTTAAATTGGGAAAGCATCTAATCCGAAAAAAAAAAAAAAAAAAAACCCAGTAGTGATCAAATACCACCAAAAGAAAGCTCTATTTGTGTGAAAAAAGGATAAAAATTTTGTTTGGGTACAACGTTGCAGGACTGTGCAATTACCAGTTGAAATACCGCAGTGCCGAATAGCAAAAAATGGCCTGGTCAGGAAGGTGCTGAAACCTTCCAGGGCTGGAGTAGTTAATGACACCCCAAATGTTGGTCCAAAATGCCTTGTGTTTGCCTGCTTCAGGTCACATGGTGCAGCAGTGTTTTCTAAAGTAGTGCATTACTTTTGGTGCAGTCTGACGTTCAAATGAATGGGCTGAAATTGCACTGCACCCAGATTGCATGTGAATCGCACAGGAACACACAGCACATTCCTGTGCGATTCATGGTGTGAAACGGCACAAATACAGCAATCTCTACTGGGAAGTTATACTGTACATCTTAGTGCACGTCAAGACTATGAATAGAAGAATGTTATGATGTTATAAATAGCACTTAAAAGTATTTCTTCTGCTACATTTCTAGTGTACACACAGTTTGAAAAATGATGTTTCGATTGATTGTTGTTGGGGTTTTTTTTGTGTTTTTTTTTTAGTTTTTAACATATACCTGTTTATTGCTTAAATAATAAAAAAATTAACGGGATTTTAACCAACCTCTACTAGATCTCTTAGAAGTTATTCTTCTTACCTGAAGCTGAGGGGGCACCCCAGAGCCTTCTGCAAGGCTCCTCCCCCACTCCTGACCCTCTCCTCTTTTTCTTACTCTTCTCCCTCTTTTTCTCTCTCTACTTAGATCTTCTTCTTTCTCTCTTATTATTTGCACACCAGTTGACAATGCAAAGGCCCCTCATTCTTACCTGTATTATATTGCCTTCGCCTTCGATGTCCCTCATTGGCCGGCCTGCCTGCCTTGTTAATATTTTACGTGATTTGTACTGGCTCATGATATGCTATCTTGTGAAAACAATAAAAAATTGTTGAACCTAAAAAGATAACAGTCCAGTATCCGATGGACAGCATTTGACGGTATGGTCCAAATAATGTTGACTTGTGTCCACAGGGTGCAAATCGAGTGAGAGGACGACTGGGCAGCATGGACAGCTTTGAGCGTAACAGTTTTGCATCTGACAAGGTACATTTTCTATAGCATAAACTGTATATAAATGTATTACTAGATAATACTGTAGCAGGGATGGTTCAGTGTACTGTTTTTGTGTTTACAGGATAAGGTTCCTCTGGATGTATGCTGTATTTTAGTAGGAATCAGTCATCACAACAAATAAGGCTTTTTTGTCATATCTTGGTTACACATTTTCTTTTCTCCACCTTGCCCCTGGTTGTGTACATTGCTGCATTTCCTGTTTCATGTAACCAGTGTTATACAGGGAAATACAGAATATCTCTTAAAGCCTGCTTCACCCTGAAGTGATAGACACAACAGAAGTATGGTTTTGTATTTCTTGTGTGGCTGACTTACTAGCCTCTATTATAATAATAGACTGTTTTCCAGGATATTATACTGACAGCACAGGAAACCTGTGTCCAGGAAGCCGGCAAGAGAGAAAAAAGTCAGCAAGGCATTATTGTTCACTACAAAAACAGGCGTGCTTGCCCCTTTGATAAGAGTCTGTGTTCTCTTAGGTACTATGGTAGATCAGAAGCCTGGGATTTCTCTGTGTTTTCTATTTTCTAATCTTACAAGCAACCTCACCGTCGGCATTTATTTTTTTTCGGATTCCAAGAGCGGGCATTAAGGACTGTAGGATACTTCTGAATGATCTATATTCATCGTAAGTTGGAAAGGTTGCTTAAATCTTGTGTCACCACAGGACGGCTCTCCTGGGGATTCTCCTCCGACCACCCCACCATCTTCTCCTGTGTCATCGTCCTGGCAGTCATTTCCAGAGGAAGACCCAGACTCCCCCCCAGTTTCGCAGACGGGCTCACACTTTTAGCCACCCACCATCGAGTGCCAAGAGGAGGATAACCTTTCCTGATGTAAAGTCACCAAACAGCAGATCCCCCCTTCAAAGGCAGCACTCACTAGCCTGTGATGGGGCACAAAGCAGGTCAGTTAATGTACAATGCATATATAAGATGAGACTAGCTCTTACTACAAACACTGAATGTTTTTTTTGCTTGTATATATTTACCATACAGAGTTCCATTCAATCTTTCTTAGGTCATGGCAAATGACTTCTGTTTAACATTTTGGCCCCCCGTGTGTCAGAAGTAATCAATTTTCCCTAATAATGCATGGTAGATGCATGCTTTGGGATGGTTTTAGCACTTTTTGTTGTTACAGTAACATGACTGCTGTATGCAATATATATGGTATGTGCATATAAATCCCATTGTGTTATGTAGCACTTACCTGATCCACTTTGTACTTAAAGATAAAGCAAGATATTTTAGATCCATGTAAAAAAAGAAAAAAAAAAACGAAAAATACTTTCATTTTCCTTTTTAGAAATTTCACCTGTACTGTTTGTCTTGAAAGGCTGAGTTGTGAAGGCAGATGCAAAAATTTCATTAGTATACATATAACACAAATGTTTGTGATCCAGAACCTTCTGCATTTTTGTAGCAGAAACATCTTTAATACAATAGCATTTTAAACACATTTTAACTTTAAGAGCATATGATAACATTAGTTGGTAAGTGTGTCAAAATTGGGCAGGTGGCAGTGAGGCATCTGCTATTTCTCAGACCTCTTGCTGCTCCACTAGGTTCTGTTGTGATGGCAGGTAAACACAGTTCACATATGGTAACAAGATCATTTCCTTAGAAGGGATTGGAGACCATAAGAGAACACAGAAATTTAACAAGCTGCAAAATCCCTGTGCATTAATGAGCAGCCCCATCAATAAGCTTACCTTTATGGCCCTATAGTCACCTGACCACACAAGCATGTACTCAAACCAAGAATAAAAAGTAAATCTATTTTACATAAAGCAGATGTTAAGGGGATCATTTTTTATGTACATGGACTTGCTATCCTATAAAGGGGAGAACTGCTACTGCTAAGACTCCTGTAGCCTCAGGTGGCTGATGTACAATAATTCTGTAAGATGCCCAGCAATAAAATGACAGTTATCTTAAATTTTGCAAAACTGTTTTTGCATACTTGTAAATTATATTGCTTTTTTGCATAAATAAGCATGTTATGGTATCAAGGATATACAGCTGAATCTTTATTCCCTCTAGATCATTGTTTCCTAAATTATGTGTAGCGCACATTGCAACCTTTCCAGCACCACCTGTGCTATTAACAGAGACACCATATCCTACCTATGAGTACTGCTTAGCAGCCAGACGGCATCTTTTTATCTTCAAAATGTCTAGTGGAATACAAGCAATCCCATGCAGCCAATTTCACTATCCTTGCAGTGGTAGTTGCCATTCGTTGCTGACGCTAGAGTAATGATATCTTACCATGAGACAGCTGTGCATAGAAACCATAAGCCCCACAGTGTCCCACCTACCCCATTAGTATACATATCACACTCTGGGAAATACTATCCTAGACAGAGATTTTAAAACAAATAATATAAAGGCAGGTAAATGTTCCTTAAAATTGGCATATATACAAATTGTTCAAGAACTTGAATCCTGACAATAACTACCTACTGTCTACTGTCTAAAGATGGCCATACATGGATCTAAATTCAGACAATTTTGCAGGGACCAGCAAACTTTTTATCCCTGTATGGGCAAGGTCGTTGTGCAGAAGTTGATCTACCCATCGACTTCTGTACAGCTGCTGTTGAAAAATTCCCACTTGATCAGCGCTGCTGGCTACAGCCGGCAGCGCTAATCAGTGTATACTGATAGTTGGGAAGTCTCTCCACAGTCAGAATACAATACCTCAGTGGGGAGGATTCCGCTCATACATGTAGATGGGGAAATAAAGTAATTTTTTTTCTGTTCAACTCGCTGAACAAAAAAAAAATTAATCATCTATAGGCTGACTTAACCTTTCTTAGCCAAAATTGGCTGCTGTTAAGCCACAATGGACTGCAAGCATTGTCACCTACAGTATGAAATGTCCACATTTTTCTCTACAGCAGTGCTCTCCAAACTGCAGCCTGGGAGCCAGATGCGACTGTTGCCTGCCTTTATCTGGCCCTTGGGACACTATTCCTCCCACTGACACCAATGATGGGGCACTATTCCTCCCACTGACACCAATGATGGGACACTATTTGTTCCACTGATACCAATGATGGGGTACTATTCCTTCCATTGGCACGGGGCTTTATTCCTTCTGCTGGCACCAGTGACGGGGCACTTTTCCTTCCGCTGATACCATGGGGCGTTATTCCTCCCACTAATGCCAAAGATGGGGCATTGTTTATTCCCATTGATGCCAGGGCATTTTCTACACCCAATGGCCACAGTCCAGCCCTCTCAAAGTCTGAGGGCCTTTTGTTTAGAATGCTTGGAGACCACTGAACTACAGGAATGGATAATATTATGTGCATATATGAAAATGTTATTTGTAGTTTTTCAACACGTTTTTATTGTTGTCCGTGACTCTGTTGGGAAGATTCACTTTTTACATTTATACTTGTGACCATTGTCAAAACAGAAGGTGAGGGAAAATCCAAATGTTTACAGTTGTCACCAGAACAAGAGCTTTAGGGAGATCTTCCAATAGGAATACCACTGTAGTGACAACTGTCTCTCTCACTTTGGGAGATTTCCTTTAATTTCCTATCTTGCTAATGGCAGAAAGACAAAATAGTAACCTGATGGGTTTTTGGCTATCGATGCACTTTAATAACTGGTCCTTATTCAAGCTGTTCTAGTTTACTATTTTCTACAAAATCAGTTTGCATTCACTTAATAAAAGACCTTTATAACCTGGTGGTATATATCTAATAACTTAAATAAACCATTGAAGATGTGAAAAAGCTTATTCATTATGAGTGTATTCCAAATACCTTACCCTGCCTTTCACACCTTATAATAGATATGACTTGCTAATTCCTAAAGAAATGAATATTCATATGCACATAAAATGTAATAAGCAGTTTAATGCAGAGGCGTATACATGCTTCTGTGTACATATGTTATGTTTTCTGGTACTGTTTAGTCGCTTTATATTTTCCTGTTTTTCCATGTTCAGATTTTTTTAAGAAACAACTGCTAATATTGTTTTTTATTGCTGAAACTTAGCCCCATTCCTATTGTTCGGCGTGTCCGCACTGAGAGTGAACCTTCGTTCTCCAGTCCCCTCATCCTTCACTGCCCCTTCTTTCCTGAAAAATCTTTACCAAGGTTCAGGCAGAACTCCCCCCCAATCTGAGAGAGATGCTCCCAAGAGGTGAGACCTGGTACAGCTGCCTCTCATACGCCTCCTACGCTAATTCTGTGTCTGGTTGCGGCTTACTTGCCCTGCTGGATTAACCAATATGGGACTGCCATGGGATGCAGTCTGCATGTTAATTGTGCTTGTCTGCCACCAAGTAATTTCTGTAATTGCTCTCTTAAATGGTAAAATGTTCATCAGAATGTACACAAGTAGCAGCAGCTTAGCAAGTTTTAGGGTATAAGTAGTGGTGTCACACTAGCCCTCTTGTATTATGCTGTCGTCAAATTAAAACATATAGTTATGTAGCTTTCTGAAGGTGATTGTTAAAAAAAACAAGTTTAAAAAATACCGAACTTGTACAGTAGCAAATAGGACTTGTGGAAAAAAAAAAGATATTGAATTTTACTGTTTGTGATTGTGCTCTGGGACAGTATGAATAGAGGTAATGTAATCAGATGATAGGGCATTACCCTCCTCCTTGCACCCTATTGACTGACCTTTGTGTCACTAAGATCTCTATGTGGACTGCAGTGTCTGTAGCCCCCCCCAATGATTATTTTGCATTCTGAAAAAGTGCCTCTAATGATCGATATGGAGAGTAATGGAAGCATAGGAGAAGACAATTTTGAGAAAAGCAGCTCTCGCTGTAACGTTCATCCCAAGTGTTTTCACAATCACCATGAGTTTCTTTATAAGTAGGCAAAAAAAGGTTTTGTTCTACTACTGTCAATGTTGCTGCTCAATCATTCTCCACTCTTCAGTGAAAGTTGGCTGTTTCAAAGTTAGAGCTGATCCCCAGAAGTGATCTGTATTGCATACTTTTTTGAAAAATCTTTTTATTACTTTTCTCATAGAATACTAAGAAGAGAACAGTATATAACAGAGCCTTTGGGCATTCCCCAGCTCCAAATCAACATTCTAACATAGAATATCACTAGAACAATTAAAAACTGTAACAACCTTAACTGTAACTAAAATCTGAAATCTCTGCTCAGTCCACGTAATACGTAAGTTGGCCATACATAGTTAGTTTCTTTTGTTTAGCCAGTGGTAGTGGATGAAGGAATCCCGCCCCCCCACCACCTGGACATTGTATTCTAAAGCTGGCCATAGACTGCTCAAATCATGCCCAGTTCAGCAGGGGCCAGCCGAGATTCAAACAATGTATGGGCAGACTGAATGTACCCAAGTTCATTTTTCAATCAACTTGGTAAAACCAGCTTGTTGGATTTCACATGCGATTATTTCTAGCAGCTATTGCTTGCATTAATCACTATGTTCTCCTGGCGGGGACGGCGCCCCCCGCCAGGGAACTCAATGGTTTCACAGGAAGGATTTCCCCCATCAATACTGACTGAGTTGATGCTGGAATTGATCTATTTTTCTATCCTGTGGCCAATTGTTCCAATTGCTCCACCTATGGCTGGCTTAACCATTACACCTGCCATTGTCAGAATACACCGATCAGCAGATAACTGCAACATGCCCCTTCGACAGAAGTTGATTTAAGAAACCAACTTCTGTTGATCAGTGCATGGCCAGCTTCACATTGATCCAGTCAGAGAATGCCTTGTATTCACAAAAAAAAATACAAGGTGTTCTATGAGGGGCAGAAATGGCAAGTAAGTGAATTCATGTGGTCAGTATGCAGAGGGGAAGCGGCTTGCAGAGAACCTGGAAGACCATGGCTATCACTGTAGTAGCGCCAACCACTACAGTGATTTTCAGCTTCCCCAGCAGCTCAAATATGAAATATTCTTACTTACACTGCTCCAAACTGGACCAATGTAAATATGCAATACAAATCATTCTTGGAGTTAAGTTTTAAAGGATAAGTTCACCTTTGTAAAAAAAAGATAAATAAATAAATGCACATCTTTTTGCAAGTCTAAAAATGTGCATTTATTAATTTTATTTTTTCTGTGAGCCTGCAAAGCATGAAACCCATCATCAGCAGATTGTGGGTGTTATGCAGGGCTCTCGTAGACAGTCTGTGAACTGCCTGCTTGTACTTTGTATGGGCAGGCAGTTACACACTAACAGGAAGACTCAATGAACTACCTAGAGTGCTCAGCACTGCCCTGGTAGTTCATTGAGAACTACAAGCTGACAGCTGCAAAGTCTTGTAGTTTTTAAAATTCACAGAACTCTGTGAATGAATGACGCGGCAGGGTGGGCAGAGCTCCACACAACTTCATTTTTAAAACTGAGACAATGAGCAGGGGGAGAAGATCCCTCGCTCACTGTCAAAATGAGGGATCGGGGAATGTGGGGGCAGCTGCATCTGTTACATGTTACACAGTCTGAATATGGGTGTAAAATGTTAGGAAAGGTGAACTTATCATTTTAAGTGAAAAACAATCATGAAAAGTGGATGGACTTGTGAATTAACAGCACTTTGCAGCCAAAGCAAGAAAGAGAAAAAAAAGCCATAGTCTTCAGGACAATTCTTTAGGTGAGATTGTAAGTAACAAAACTTCCTATAGGAAAAAAAATGCAAAATAGGCATCCATCTTTATAAACAGGCCATTAGGAAACAATACCATAAAAAAAAAGAAAAAGCAGCAGAGTATGCAGGTGTACTAGATTGTAAATAGCATCAGTGTGACACCTCTCTAGAAAGTGAACATTATACCATCACATTTGTCTGTCTCTACAGCAATACTAATAAATATATTAAATCTTGCATGACACAAACCTGAATATAATTGTAATGTACAGTAACACATGTTTTTATCCCTACAGTACAAATATGGTAAGTAAAATGTTGTGATGCAGGCTGCTGTATGAGTTATTAAATGTGCAGGTTTTGAACACTGCCTTGTTCTCTAGTCCTAATTCATAGCGCTCCAAAGGTGAGTACTATCGCAACACCTGCATGCACAGAGGTTTAGCAAAACAGTAGCTCTATGGGGCTCTACACAAGTATAAATATAATAAGCTAAGTAATAGACTAAGCACTAAGGTGTGAACCAAAAAAGCTATAGTATACCCCTAACTGCATCAAAAATACATACTTCATACAATGTTATAAACATATGAAAATTGAAAACCTCTTCTGGCTTCTGTTTGGTAAAGTGGCAAAAAGAATTAGCAAAATTGAGACATCGTTTAAGGTACCCATTCCAGACCACTAGGGTAATCATTCAGATATTGGTTGTTACATCTCTCAATAATGCTTTTACTGCTGGTTTACATTGTTAGTATACAATGTTTTGAAAAGTGAGAAAAACCTTTCACAGACTCCGTGCAAGCTGTTGTGTAAATGTTTAATCCGATAGGGTTTGTCAAAGTGGTTGAAAAAGGCTCAAGGTTTTTTATCTTTATGCATTTATGAGAACATTTGCTCTCTAGGAACTCTCCCTCCACATTGGTTCACAACATATTTTAGGTGTCTATTGTAGTTTGTACAGGCCCTCAGATCATTAAATGCCAAAATTACAGTTTTCACTAAATTGCTGTGCTATTTTTTAGTGTGGTATTATATGATAAAATGGAATAGTTGAAGTTCAAGAAGAAGTTGTGGGTGCATACTACATAGACCAAGATACACAGTACTTTTAAATTTTTTTTATATTATCTAATATACATGTGGGTTATTGCAGGATTAATCCGTAAGGAATGTCAGGCAAAATGACAATGGCAGCAACAATCAGAATTCATCTTTTCGCCAATAGTCAGTCAATGCATATGTTGTGTGTACTGATGGGCACTATATCACCGATCCATGTTATTTCTACATTGCAGTCATGACCCATCTGCATTAGCATTTACTGTCATGGAAGAACAATGTAAATGCAGTCATGTGAAAAAGTACTTTTAATGGAATCGTTGAATTTTTTTTTTCAACATGTTTAAACAGGCAAACATTGGATCTTCATTCAAATAGTGCCTACAGATACAGAATACAGATATAAAGGTGACATACTTGAACATATGACGCACAAAATTGACATGGTTTATTTATCCTAATAAATTTAAATGAATGAAATGCAGATTTGTAAGTACACCCCTACATTTAAAAACACTTAAAATCTGTAAAGTTAGAGTAAGGTGATACAGATTAGATGACAATGATTAAGACCTCCTTAGGACTATACAAGTGAAACCCATATTTCTAGAATTTGGTATTTGCTTTGCTATCTGTCAGTATTCTGGTATCATGGCAAATCAAAAGAGCTCTATAAGGGCCTTAGAATAGAAGTTTTGGGTGCCTATGAATCTGGCAAAGGATTAGAAGATTGCCAAATTATTTGTATTCCATCATGTCACTGTAAGGGGGCAAAGATCAGTACAGTTTGCTATTAATTGTATAGGCAAGGACCTGACCTTCTGGAACAACCAGGCCCTTGGACAAACCAACAATAAGTTGTCTGTCCACAGTAACAGTAGACATGTTTGGTGTAAACCAAAGACCGCATTTGAGAGAAACCTCATACCAACTGTGAAGCATCGTGGTAGAAATATTATGGTTTGGGATTGCTTTGTTGCCTCAGGGCATGGGCAGCTTGCAGTCAGAATCAACTATGAATTCTGCATCATATCAAAGTGTGCTTGATGAGAATGTGAGGCTCTCTGAAGGTAATTTGGAAATGGATACAATTAGGGATGCACCGATGCTGGTTTTTTTACTGGCAAGTATGAGTACCGACACTTTCGGTCAACTACTCGCAGATACAGAGTACCAATACTTTGCGGTGCAATTTGCATTAATTGACGCAAATTGCTCTGCGTAGAATAGCATGCTATTTGAACAGGAATGCGATTCCTGTTCAAATCACAGGTTTCCCCACTGCTCCTGAGTGAACCCAGGCTTGTCATAGCCTGAGTTCACAAGGAGCGGTGCTGGAAACCTCCCTGCAGGCAGCCCATGTTTAGTGTCAGTGGTAGGAGAGGAGAAAGATAGTTGAGGCGATTTGAAATCCCTGCCGCTTTCTTTCCTCTACTTGCAATGATGACAGTTTGGGCTAGACGGCATCTGATCTGTCACCTGCTGATTGGTCAGCTCCAGT